CACTCGGACCCTTCCAACGCTCCCCTCACCCCCCACCTGGCCGGTGCGGGCAAAATAGGCAGCTTCCAGGACCTTTTCTGAGCCTTTCCAGGCTCAGAAAAGGTCCTGGAAGCTCCCGATTTCACCCGCGCCAGCCCCGTGGGGGGTGGGGGAAGTGACGGAAAGGTCCTGAAAGGCTCACTCAGACCCTTGGGAGGCTTAAATCACCACCTTCGCTCCATAAGACGCACAGGCTTTCTACCCCACTTTTTGGGGGAGAAAAAGTGTGTCTTATAGAGCGAAAAATACGATATATATCTGCTTCTTCTTTTAAAGATAAATTGGCTGAAATCCTGTTGCTTAGCATAGTATCACAGTAGAGGTGGCCTAATGAATCAGTGGGGATTTAGTGTGTAAACTCCATCCTAAATTCTATTGATTCAAATGCACTTACTTTAGTTTTGATTGAGTTTTGTGTAGGAATTCACAACTATAGTAAGCCTATTTAAATCAATGGATCTTGTTGAGGAGTTGCCCCATCAAATCCTGACGGATTTAGTAGGAAAACTGCAAACTGCTATGCTAAGCAGCAATATATCAGCCTGGTAAGCAGAACAGGTTTTATAGAGTGTTTTCCACATTTTATTATGTAAATATTTTACTACATTAAAATATCAAAAATTAATATTAATTGTACCTCACAAATGAATAGCCTTTTCCTGGAAATGCTCTGGTTTCCAAAATTTGTCCAAAAGGGGAAAACGTCTGTCTCATCAACTGATCTAAAAATGCAACATTTTTGGTTAGTCATATTTGTGCTCAAAAGGTTCAGTAAGTATGTTACAAGAATAAACATAAGTTCTACCTGTTAATCCAGATGCAATTCCACCACAATAGACTGTACAGTTTTTGGGACTTGATTGATTTACTACATCTTCAAACCTCAGCTGTTTCGTGCTGTCTGCAAGATGAAACACTTTAAAAAAACTATTTTTCAGGCTCCCCGTTCCCCAGCAAAGTGTTAACATTCTAGTGTAAACCATCACAAATGCCAATATGGGGATAAGACCATTTTAGAATACCAACATTTATTTGTTTGAAAATTTGCTATAGAGAACTGTTTCAAAATCGGGGGGAGGGGGAGAACAGAGTAATCAGAATCTGAGCCAACTAAGAAATAACACTGTAGCTCATAAAAGTCCAATTTCTTTGAATTTACTATAGGGAGTCTAGCTCCGCCTATGAATTTACATTATAGTCAATGTAACTTACTTTAGTTGATATATGAAATATGATCAACAGAGAGCCACGAAGTGTGGGTTGTTAGTAAAATAAATGGGCAACATAGTATGAATTTTTTAAATCACCATGAAGCTACAATTGCTATCAATCAGGCAGTTAAATATGCCCCAAAGGTCAACTCTCCTCCCTTATTCCTAAAGAAAAAAAAAAGCTCTCACTTAAATATTAGTATGATATACACATTGAAATCCTGTTGAAGTTGGTGTAATGTAAAGTTAGTCCTGTGGAACTATGCAGGTCTTTACTCCCAGGTAATTTAAGTTACACACTTGGCATGTGCCCTTTGATTGTTTTGGACTTCAAATCTCCGAATTCCCCATGTTAAGAGTTTTGTCTGTCACACACCTAAATCTCAGAATTTTCCATTCTAAGAGTTTTGTCTGTCACACACCTAAATTAGAGAAAGGCTGGGCTGGAAGGCTTTATAACCTAATACAGGCTGAGTTCTAGTCTAGGTGCTTGCTGGAAAGGGGACCCGGCAACTCTTCTGTATGTTGCCCTGGAGGTTGCCCTGCACGAGAGAATTTCAACCAATATGTCAACTAAAACTATCAAAACTGTATTTCTGAAGTTATGAGAAGTGCTATTTATTGAGCGTACATCTTACATTACGTTCAGACTCAAGGTGAGAAATAAAAGCAGCACAGTAATGCTATTCAGGCCAACACCCACCAATTTACTTACTTTCTTGTGTACTTTTAGGGGCAGGTGGCTTTCGTGTAGCCCAATTAGTTCTGATCTGACGACCTCCTAACCATTGGCCTCCCATATGCACAATTGCATTCTCTGCATCCTGATTGAAAAACAGTTTTAGTTTTCAGAAAATACCATCTTTTTACTGAAAAACATTGAAAACGAATATTTAATATCTATGTCTTTTTCCTGCATATCCAGTTTTACTTTCTGACTTGTAATCACTTAGGGTTTCCAAGATGATCCATTATCAAACTGCATAATGGACAACATTTCCTAGAAGCAAAGAATGCTTAGGAAAGGACGCAACAGTAAGAAGCCTCAACAACTCTCTAAGCACCATCAATGGGTCCTAAATCACATCTTAGTTTACACACTTATGCACATTTCTATCTGGACATGCATTATTGATGAAAATATGCACACATAGGAGGCAGGGAGGAAAAAAATCAATGATAGTTTTAAATTCAATTGATTAAAATCATTGCATAATTCATCAAAAATCCAATTAAAATTATATTGTGATTTAAATAATGATTTAAATCAATCTGATTTAAATCAAATCCACCCTAAAATGTGCTGCACATACAAGGGAGAAAGAACAATAAATATTTATTTAATGAAGTTTTACCCCACGCTTCTTTCAAAACAGGGACCAAGGCTTCTTCAATGATACACTCTATCATTGCTTATTTTGTTTTTAAGTTGTTTACTTGTTCCAGTCATTACATGTTTTATTATAAATTCTGTCTCAATTTAATGTATTCGCGAAGGCTTTCACGGCCAAGATCTAATGGTTGTTGTGGGTTTTTCGGGCTTCTTGGCCGTGTTCTGAAGGTGGTTTTTCCTAATGTTTCGCCAGTCTCTGTGGCCGGCATCTTCAGAGGACAGCAAACTGTGCCGGCCACAGAGACTGGCGAAACGTTAGGAAAAACTACCTTCAGAACACGGCCAAGAAGCCCAAAAAACCCACAACAACCATCTGTCTCAATTATTGTTTCAAATTCCAAATTGAATAATTAAAAATACTGCTTTGAAGACTGGTGAATTAAAAAAAGTCTTTAACACAAAATGAAAAGCCCAAAGATACAGTATTTTGTAAAAGAATCTATATAGGAGCTCAAGATGCTCAAATCAAAGAGAAAACCTTGCCATGGGGATATGCTGGTGATTTTGTAAATCCTAGACAGCTAATTCCCATGGGGAGAAGCTTGCACCTGTCACTGACTGAATATACAAATTACTAGTCCTTCCTCAGTAGGCAGAATTTTCATGTTGCGGACAGATATTTAAACTATGAAGACTCTGGCTTGTCATGGAATGGGTTTTTCTTGTGTTTTAACACCTATTGCCATCCTCTAGGTTTCCTGGGAAGTCACCACTAAAAGGATAGCCTAAGATGCAACATGTGGGATTCAGTAAAAAGGATCAGTGAGTATCAGGGAACCTACTCCCTCATAGAAGAAGAGTTTTCCATTCACATTGTTGCTCTGTTAACAATGTTGCCATGATATTTGGACTACTATAAGTTTGGAAATGATATAGTTTTCATATCAAGAGCTGTAACACTGCACAGTATGCCTAAACCACGCCTCTAAAAGAATATGGAATTTTGCCCTTCATGAATTTCAATAACTAATGAGCAATGAAAGGGAATGTATAATAAATGGATTTATGTTCGTGAGTATATTTGTAATTGATTATATTCATTTTATTCAATAACCCTGCATACATAATGTTAGCTTGTGATTACTTACCAGTTTATTATAAAACGATACAAAGCCATATCCTTTTGATTTTCCTGTTGCCATATCTTTAACTACCCGTGCATCCCTGGGAAGACAAGCACAGTTATATGAGGAAAACATTAAAGATTTCCAAAACTAAAACTAAAAGGAACCACACACACTGTATTGTGAGCATAATTTTTCCTATTATTATCTCAGTATCTCCTGTAACTATAGCTATTCCTAAACTCTCCCTAATGCTTCTTTGCCTGCCAGAAAAAAAGCAGTAGGATAAAAAAAACATGTAATAAACATGCAACCTATCCATATAACCTGCACTTTCTATAACTAAAATGTTCAGATCTGAAACTTTAAAAAGGAACAATGTTTCCTTTTCTAATATTCTACTGGCTAGGGTCCACAAAGGTTCACTGTTCTATAAATTACTGTAACATTTCTAACTATTTTACCATGCATTCTCTAAATAAATGCCCTCTACCTAGTGATATAAAATATGAAATATTAAAAAATTGAAAAAGAGGAAAAAAATAGGAATTAAAAGGCATACATGGCCTGTTAACAGATTTCTTTATTTTTCTTGGTCAATTCTCTACCATCATTTTGGAGTTTGGGCAGCTGTAAATTTTGAAAAATTGACATTTTCAGAAATTTAAGAAAGGAGAATAAAACTAACAACAATGCTAAGCACACCAGTACGAAAACAACAAATTTTACACATAAATTTTAGTGAGTAAGTTAAAATGATTGGAAATATAGAACTGCACTGAATATAAAATGTTAAAATGTAAATACTAAGATATGTATATATAAATAATGTATAATAAGAATAAATAGAAATGAGAAAAAAATCTACAACTGAGTTCCAGTGTGCACAGTTCCTTGCAGTTAGCTTCAAGATCCTGTCCATTCTTATGAGCAATTCTGCAAAATAATCAGAATGCTATTACTTTTAATTGTGACTTGGACTTTAGAAAAACTGCAGGTCTCATGTATAAATAAAGACTGAGAAATAGCAACCTGTATTAAACCTTCTTATATTGGTTTGCAAACAGTATTACTTACCACACTGAGATAAAAAGCAAAGTAAACTAAATAGACAAAATAAGATTTATGTTTCATTTGAAAATATGTACAGTGTATAGAGAAAAGATGTTTTTAGCATAAATATATTCCTGAAAAGTAACACAAAATGTTCAGGTTTTGTTTCTGTGTTAAGAGAAAACAATAGGACAAAATCTTTGAAGAAGCTAGTTTATCCAACAAAAGAGACAGACATGGCACAGCACTTAACAGGAACATTTGTAATGTTTAAAATGTGAAGCTGAAAAGCTATGGATATTTGGAAATCTATTTTCAAGTTTTGGTTTACAAAGAAAAGGTATTTTTGGATTGGTACGATTGGTGCAAAACTACAAATACATTTATTTAAAAGCTTACCAGAAAGGTGTCAGTTTTAATCTCCAGATTCAGAAGCCCTACATATAATGTCACTACTTTTCAAAAGAATGCATGCACATAAGACTTTGTAGCTTGCTAAACTGTATTACAAACAAAAACCTAAAGGTAGTCTCAAATAGAGGGGAACACCTTCACATAAATATTGACCCTCCATTCAACAGTCTATTCAATGGCTCTCCTGTAGTTGGAACTAGTAATCAGATTTTGGCCTATATGATTTGCCTGCAGTCCAACGCTACCTAGTCATCAGATGCATACCTTAATGCTTCTAACACATTTCTATACAAGTCTAAACCAGCAGTTTTCTTGTTCATCTGCAATACAAATCCCCAAACCCACACCAAGCATTAAAAGCACACAGCTTTCCACAGACCAAAGACCTTGTTCATGTTTGCATGAGATATTAAGATACAAGCCCACAAACCATACCACATCACCCACTGCTCATCATTAGGAAAACTTTAAAAAACAACCTAAGCAAAATGAATGACATTAACTGAAAAACAGTATTCCATTAGGGCTTTTTCTGTATTAAAGATTTAAGGTAAAAAGTATGACACTTACGATATTTTACCAAAAGGAGCAAATGCTGACTTGATGTCCTCTGTTGTTATTTCTGGACTTAAATCTCCCACAAATACATGGAAATGATCTGGAGGGGAAAGCATTATCTATTTGTTATAAAAATCACACTGGCGTTTAGCATTTAAGATGGATTTCTGCTTCAATAGGCTTTGGCTGATTAGATGGTGTTGTTAAACAATGCTTTTATCTGTTTTAATGCTTTAATTATACTTAATTGTTTTGTATGATTTAGCAATATCATTGCTCCAAGTGCAATTCATTGGCAAAAATGAATGCAACAAATGCATATATTGCTGTTCCCCAATAATTTAGTTTTCTTACACTGAGTAAATGTATGAGTGAGATTCAAATCATCTTGTGTTTACATGCATGGTTGCATTTAATCAGTAATTAGACCTCTCCAGCCAAACTGACTACTCTGAGAATAAACCAATCTTTAAAAAGGAAAACAAAATCAACCGTTTACTATTGTATACAAGTGAACATAAAACATGATAAAGTATAAGTATCTGAACTCAATTTCCCTGTTGTAATTCTAGTAGAATTATTTCAGATCATTAGCATTACTTACTTGATGTATCTTTTTTCTGGCTACTTGGTGTTGTTGCCCAGTTAACCTTTACTTCCTGAAATTAAGAAACTAAATCAATACTAACATAATTTTAGAAACCACACATCAACCAAGATAGGCTCAAATGTCAACTAAAATGCTCTTCATTCTTTATAGAAACATCAGTTTTCAAGGAACTTCTAATAATGAACATGGTTATACATTTCTGACATCAAGCATAATTAACCTATTCATTTCATTTACTACATGTCTCTTTTTTTATGCAACGTACCTTTCCCAAAATTTTTCTCCCATTCATAGCAGCTAGCGCAGCAGCTGCATCCCTGTGTTCATAAAATTCCACAAAGCAATAAGGGTCATTGCTTGTATGCTGCAAAACAGAAAATCCAACAGAAGAGTTGACCCTTCTGCTATCGGGTTGCTGAGAAGAAAATCCAGGAAAATATATTACTTAAAGCTAGAAAATAAACTATTGCTATAAATGAGTATAAAACAGCCCTAAGAATTGTTCTTCATTCTGTCACACTGATTCTTTAATGAATTACATTCACAAAATGGCAATTATGGCTCCAGTCGAGAGGTCAACATGTATCAATGGACTGCAGGTTCAATGCTGAGAATCTGGATCTCTCTTTCAAATAAACAACACAAAGGCATCACTGATCACCTCCTGGGAGAAGACTGAAATCCTAAAGTCACTGATGTTTCAAAACCAACATTACTGGTTTTTTATTCAAAGTAAACAAACATAAGGACTCTTGTGTATATAGGATGTTGGAAACTGAAGTTTTCAAAACGCTATTGCATACTTAGGAAAGGTCTCAAAACTGTCCTGTGCACAAAAACCTATCCTAAAAGACTACCACTAGTACACTGGCTTATGTATACGTAGCTTTTATATTCTAAGTTTTTACTCCATATAACGGTATCAATATCCTACATAGATATTCAGTCCCAAGCAGTTATCATTGGTAGAGCCCAGGTTTCTAATATTAATAGAACACTGCTTTCAATGTTTTACAAGGCACCCATTTAAAAAAGCATCATCTGGGCTAGAACATGAAGTTCTTACAGAAAAATCTCCAACTCGTTCATGTATTTGCCCACATTATCTCCTACTTGATTTGGTACTATGAAATACTATAATCTATAGTCATGTTTCATATGCTAAAAGAATGCTACTAGCTCTGCTAAGATAGAAACAGCAACAATCCCTGATTAATGTTACTAAAGCATAGAAAAAAACATCATTATAGACTATCTTCACCTCTGTGGCCACAACTAAGTAAAAGGAAATCAGGTGCATATCCACATCTTTTCAATTGTTCACAATGTACAGAAACATTCCCATGATCATAAAAGACTGCTATTCCCCAATCAACATTCCTAAACACACAGCAGGATTTTTATATAAAAATTTCTAATGAACTCTGAATATCCTAGCAATATCCTTATAGCAATGTCACTGCACAAAACAAATATTAATTCCTGAAATATACTGAATAATCAGCAAGTGGAAGGAAAGCAGGTAAGCCAAAGCACTTAGCAAATATTGGGCAAAACCCCGTTTCATAACTTTGTGCCCAGCACATCTCAGATTGGGAACAGAAAATACTTAATTTACACTAATTTAAAGCTTTCTATCCCCCCACGTTTGGTTCATAGGCTTCCTCAGGTTTCTTTGGACTTTGTTTGAAGTAACAATTCTTAATAGGCATAAAGACACATTTTGAAATAGATCTTTCCGTGTATTTCAGTGGTTCCCAACCTTTTTCAAGTTGCGACCCCCTTTTAAAATAGCCAAGTAACCTGGGTCCTCCCCTATCATGTTTGCATAAATAGGTCATCACCATCATTCCATAACATGGCAACACTGTCAATGCTGCTGCTTGCCCTCCTACCTCTCCAGCCAACTCCACTGCCAGCACTTCAAAACTGGGGAGGGAACAGGCTGGGGAGGTCAAATGTAGGGAAAAGAGAAGGCAAAGGACTTCAATGATGGGCCAGGGAATGAAAGGACATTGTGACACCCAGGGAGGGGGCAAAACCTTAATGCAGAGAGGATCTCCCTCAGAAATGGAAATGAAGCTTTCCTTGCACTGGCTGTTTCTATGTTCCCCTCCTGGGCATTTGTTTTTTTTTTCTTTTCTTTTTTTCCCCTCCCCTTCTTTATCCTCTCCAGAAGTGATGAACCATAGTTAAAATCCCCTTCATATGGAAGCAGCAGAATTTATATCTTCATGCTAGCATTTCTTCTTTTTCTTCTTCTTTTTGGTAAAAAAAGTCCATCATCCCTTCTCAGAAAGAAGCTTCTTTCTCCTCTTCAAAGGCCTGCTTCTCATATATACACAAACATGCTAATTTTAATATCCCACTCCAAAAGGTCAAGGAAGAAATTATCTGACAAGGGCTACAACCCCCCAGAAAACACTTTGGGGTCACAACCCCCAAGTTTGGAAACACCGCTATATTTGTAGTGTCAAAAATGTCAAAATACAAACTTAGAATTCTCCCAAAAGGGTAATCACTATGCAAACTGGCATCACATTGTACTGCAGAGCTGAGCAATTATTGGAACATGGTACCAGAAATATAAAACTTAAAGATGAAGCCAGTGAAATTTGTCTGCTAGAAGAAAAATAAACAATAGAAAATTGAGGATGATCTCATCCTTTGCCACTGATAACAATATTACAGACACCAGAAAATAACTGCACATTGCTTAAGGTATCTATCTCCTGCAGATGTAAGGCTCAGAAAAAAATTCTGCTCCACAGTAAATTAAAGCAGAATCCCCATGTTGCTCATGGGGTTGCTCTGTCAAGATACACAACCATGCTTAAAATAAACTCTTCCACCTGGTAAAGCCAGAAAAGAAAGTCCAAAATAGGCATTACATGCAGATCCTAGACATTGAGTTCTGTTCTCTTAGCACTTAAAACAAGCCTGACTTTAATCCTTATTCTTTCCAAGTAGCCTTGCAGTTCCACAAAATGAACATTAGATACCAGGAAAAGCAAAAGTAGGGTGAGGAGGATCAGCAATACAAACACTGATTGATTCTGTAATTGACACAGATGTTCACCAAGCATTAAAATGTTTATCCTGTTCATCTTTTCACTGACACTCCTGGACTTTTAGTTTTGTGTTTTGAATTCTGGACTAAAAGCTTGCTCAAAACAAGAACAGTTTGCTTACTCCCTGAATCTCAGGGTCAGATCAAGTTTCGTATTCTGTCTACTAGACAATACTGGCTCTCCACTTGCGAAGTTAGAATTACCACTGAAATTATCCTAAGGAAAGCTAAGAAAGCTATGAGTATTACCAAGGTAAAAAGTCATTTTATATCAGGGTAGATTTTAAAATCAGTTTCAGAACCTTTATTGGCATACAGTACAATAGAGTGAGATAAGGTAAAATGTTAAAAAGCATATATGCCATGGGATACCCAGATGACATTGTTAGGGCTCAATGGTGTGTGACAGCATAACGTGATACCTCTGCATGATGGAATGGATGTATCTGGCTGTTGTCTGGGTAAGATCCTTATTACTGCCACTCAGCAGGTGCTGGATTTTATCCAGATCGCCCCAGCCAGAGTGGGAGAAGAGGAAGGGGCTCAAGTATTGCAGGTGGATATCCTGATACCACATACGATAAAACAGCATTATGATGGTTTTAAAACAGCTGATTGGCGGGTCGCAAAATGGCCGCCCCCTGTGCAAAATGGCTCCCCGCTGTGTTTTAGGACTGATTGCTTGCTTTACAGGCACCAGAAAATGGCTGCCCTATGGAGGATCTTCGCTGGACGGTGAGGTATTTCGCCCACTGGAACGCATTAAACGGTTTTCAATGCATTTCAATGGGCTTTTTACTTTCGTTTGACGACGATTTCATTCTACAGCGATTTTGCTGGAACGGATTATCGTCGTCAAGCGAGGTACCACTGTACTTCCGTCGAAATGTGAATTTCGTTGTATGGGTATACTGTGTATATACTTACAATGACAATAAATTATATTATTATTATTATTATATTATTATTAAATAACCCAATATGATCCATCTTATAGCTTTTCTCCAGGGACAGTGTAAATCTCAAAATCTACCTGCCAGAATTTGCGAAAAACTATGAGTTTAGATTTGTCAAAATTCAGTTCGCGCTTGTTACATAACAAGTACTCACAGCAACCACTAACTAGGCGCCTTAGGCCAACCGTTTTGCGGGACAGGAGAACCATGTCATCTGCATATAATAAGATTGGAATCTGTAAGCGGGCTAGTTTAGGGCTGTGGCCATTAAAATGGAGCAAGGTCATTGATGAATAGGTTAAACAAAGTTGGCGCCAGGACACAGCTTTGCTCACTCCTCTGACTGGAGAGAGCCCCCTGCATTGAGATTTTTATACGACAGGCAGAGTCCGCATGAAGTTTTTGGATCATAAAGAGGAGCCTTCTATCAATACCCAGCCTAGAGAGCTTTAACCACAGGATGCCTCTGTCAATAGAGTCAAAGGCTCCTTTTAGATCTAAGAAGGGTTGCAAAGAGGTGGACACTACTCTAGCTATTTATAAACACACCTAGGAATAAGTCCCACTGAATTCAACAGGGCTTACTGCTGAACAGGCAAGTATAAGGTCACACTATAAATATTACATTCATAGTAGAGACACTTTAGAGAGAATGATCAATTATTAGCCAAATTTTATTATTAAACTTTGAGATAAACTAGACCAATAGAGCATCTTACCTCTGTTATCATTTTACAGCTTTTGCAGGGTCCAATTTGACTGAATAACTGAAGTATAAGTACTTCAGTCACATCTCTGGAAAGATTTCCTACATAGCTAGACAGACAAAAGAAAAGATAATATTAATCCAAGTATTCCTTTCTTGCCAATGATGTTCTATATGATTTATAAAGACATAGGCTATCTGTTTTATACACTGTACAGATATGCCACCTACAAATGAATCTCAAACACCAGAACTAGTCCACAGCATTTTTACTTCAAAGAAATATCTATGTATTTTTCATTGAAAAATATCATGTGGTTAGTAATCCAAAGCATATAAGGTTGGTTATCCAAAGTACACAAGGTGCTCAAATAAATACTTCTGTTTGCCCAGTCTATGTCAAAAGGTTTGGAAACAATTCAGAGATATATATGTGCACAACCCATATCTTCTTGAATTTCCTTTTCAGAAGATGACATCACAGAATCCAAAAAACTATCCTCTTAAATCCAAAGTCAATAGCAATAGATGAACAGTGTGAATACACATGAACAGAATTTTTACTTGGAGTCAATGCACACAGGTATAATTTCTTTTATTTTACAAACTGTTGCAATAATCAAATTCTAGAATGGAATGGAATGTAGCTCAGTGGTACAGCAACAGACTTTGCATGCAGAAAGGGTCCCTGGTTTAGCTCTTTGTGCAGAAAAGCCCTTGGCATTTCTAGCCAGGGCAAGGAAAACATCTTTCCTGCAACCCTGGAGAACCACCACCAACCAGTGTTGATAATATTGGACTAGACCCAGAGAAATTTAAAGAGAGAACTCTGCTGAAGTGTGAGGGAACCTTCCAAGGTGGAAGCATCAGAAAAATGCATAATGCATTAAAAACCACTTCCTGCTCACACCATCATCAAATGTATAGAAATATAGAAAAATATGTTGAAGTTAGACTGCATTTTAGAACTCTCATAAACCAGGCTCTCACATGGAACTATGAGCCAATAAGCTCAGTGGCTGAAATCTTATTAGTGCAGCTATGCCTGTAGAAGTGTGATGTCACCATCAGGGAAGATTTTTGATAAGACTTTCCCATTTTCTCCCATGGCTGTTTTGACTTGCAAATAACCCCTTTCACCATGTGGAAGCTGTGGGAAGGACGGGATGGGGAAAGAAGTCTTTCATTTTTGAAAATTGCTGCTGCCAGATTATAGGGGATAATCAATAACAAAAAGCTTCCTCCCCTCCACTCCTCAGATTCCACACAAGGACAGGAATTACTTGAAATCAGAAAAGCTGGAGAAGAGAAGGGACAATTGCTTCTTTATTGAAAAATCTCCCCCAGTTGGTGACATCACCATTCTGCAGGAATAGGTATGCTAACAAGATTTCAGCCAGTCAAACTTAATTTTGAATAAACATGTGTAAGTTTGTTCTGATAATCAGAAATGCTAATCATTATGCATTACAGGTATCTTTAGGAAATATTATGAAGGATTTCTGAAATTTCAGTGGCATTCCAGAAGCATTATGATGCAACATGGTCACATAGAGACATGTGAACAACAATTACCTCACCAGCTAATCACAAACTTTTGTCTTTCTGTATTGTGGAAAGTATTTTAAAAGTTCATTTTAGTGAAATAAAAATGCAAGGTTTTGAAAATAATTGTTTACTTCAGAATTTTACAGTATCAAACATTTTTGACATAGCAGTTCGAGAAGTTGTAACTGTAATCTTAATATATCATAATTATGTTGATTTCAAACAACTAGACTCTAAGAAGCTAGTTCATTTTCAACTTATTTATTGTAGTCTCTGAAGTCTACAGAGATAAGAAGAAACCATATCTCTATTAGGGTGGATAAAAATCAATGATTTTTAAGAATCAAATTGATTTAAATCATGATTTAAATTTTAAAAATCCAAGTTTTTCTTTAAACATGATTTAAATCAAATCCATCCTGATGTATACTAGATAAAGTACGGTAATATCAGAGCCCAGAAATGCAATATGCAGACCACTGGTGGATAAACTGCTATCTTGGGATCATATGTTCTTGTCCCAGACTGTTTTTGTGTTCTCCAACCCTATTGCATTCCTTTGTTTTTCCACTGAAAAAATGAACGAAATTTTCCCATCCCTGTCTTAAGTTAAACAGTAATGAAAATGTCACTGAAGAAATGGAAAAAGAGCTCATTCTTCTGCTCTGAACTGTTTTTCAAAGATCTCTAGACTTATGTTTGCAACAAGTGACTACAGCTCAATATCTGAAGTTCTTGCTGGCTCAAATGTCAAAAGAAGATTAAACTCTTTGATAAACATAAATCTTTCAATATCACAAGTACCCAATGATAATAGATTATTATTAGCCACCAAAATTTCATAGAACATAGATTTTTGGAAAGTGCATGGCCATTACAATATGCCAGAAAAACTGTAATCTGTAACTTAAAACTGACTAATGCAAAAAATTCTTATAGCACCTTGAAGATGAACAAATTTATTGTAGCACACTTTTTGTGGACTAGCATCCACTTTAGCAAACAATGCAGACTGCAGCCCATGAACTGTCAAGCCATAATATTTAGTCTTCAAAGAGTACCAAAAAATCTTGTTTCTTTTGTTGCAACAGGCCAGCACTGCTAGTCATTTGATAATTATTGCAAGGAGTCAATTAATTTAGCTCAACTGCACTGCGATAATTTTTCTTAAGCTTTTCTCATGTTTCATGAAACATCAATATTTCTGCATTTAACATCTGTTCTCCAACCTGACTCATGCAGACATAATATTTTCTTTCTATTTGCACACATGCATGCACGTATGCTGCTCTCAAGTATCTGGTCAACCTGGCTCATCATGTTCTGATGTTAGCACTTCGAAACTGAAAGAATACTGAAGAAACAGCAAATGTTTTTGCATATAACATCTCTTTTTAACATTCTTCCATCAATGATCCCAACATTGAGTCGTATAGATACTGACTCATACATATATAGTCCTTTCTGCACTCACGTATGTACATATCTTGCTGCCCTGTATACAATCTCAAGTAATTTTTTTCACTCTAGCTCACCATGTTCAATATTATCATTTAGATACTGCAAACATTCTAGCTGGTCCTTGTCTCCTGAATTTTGATCCTGTTTATTCTACATTTTCTTAGAATATATGGAAGAACAGCAGCATACTATGTAAAGATAACTTGCTTTATTAAGTTTATAATAACTTCAGACTAATAAAAATAACTGAATTATTTTTTTCCCTTTTGTTAATAAATTTTTCACAAGATTCTCACTTTAATAGGTAGTTTCAGTATAGCCTGGTTATTAAATACTGTAGTTACAACTATCAGCACAAACCAGAATGAAAACATACAGCTGAAAAATGAACTGGAGAGAACTTGTTACTTCTTAATTTACAACTTGTTAATAATACTGTAAAAATGTCTGACCACACTTTCCTGATTAGTCAGTCATCTCGTTTGATTGATCAGATACCCAGCCTAGTCCAAGAAGGGAATACTGTAAAAAAAAAAACCCCTATTCTTTTACAAATCTAGGATCCATTAAATGTCCAGACTGGCCTCTGCATGGGTACAGATGCCATATTAAAAAAAAAAGACATTAGCTGAAAAAAGAACCAGTCAGCTTTAAATATGTAGTCAGCCATACACTGTACAGGATCTAGAAGGGCAGAGCTTAATCTGTATTCTGATTAAAGCTTCAAAGTCAGCATGAAAACAGGGAGCTGGGCTGAAAACAAGGGAGCTGGTTCAACACAAGATGAGAATTTCAGTTGCTGAATTTCAGTTAATGGTACAATTATTCAGTATGGATTGTAACTGTGTCCAGTGGCACATTTAGGATCCTATTTCACTTTAATAATATTGTGTATCATTGGAAGGACAGATCCTGAAGTTGAGGCTCCAATACTTTGGCCATCTCATGAGAAGGGAAGACTCCCTGGAAAAGACCCTGATGTTGGGAAAGTGTGAAGGCAAGAGGAGAAGGGGACGACAAAGGACGACATGGTTGGACAGTGTCATCAAAGCGACCAACATGAATTTAACCCAACTCCAGGAGGCAGTGGAAGACAGGAGGGCCTGGCGTGCTCTGGTCCATGAAGTCACGAAGAGTTGGACATGAATTAACGACTAAACAACAACAAAATATTGTGTATTCCACAAACTGTTAATCTTAGAACCAGACAAACACTATGTCATCACAAGTCAGTTTCACAGAAATGCAATTATTGTGGACTTCCCAAAACAAAACACAGGGTGTCCTAAGGATGGTAAGGAAGTACTTCAGCATCCCAATAGCAGTGAGATTCTGAGAGAAAACTGAATTGCCTATTGGCCATAAACTCATTCTCTGGTAAGTGTGGATCATGCAGACAGAATCTTTGGGGGAAAATACTTATGTCCTACAGATGTTAGGTTCACTGTAGGAAAGATACCGTATTTTTCGCACCATAAGACGCACTTTTTCCCCACAAAACAGGGGGGTGGAAAGTCTGTGCGTCTTATGGAGCGAAGAAAACAGATTATATTTTCCTGTTTTCTTCTCCTAAAAAATTGGTGCGTCTTATGGAAAGGTGCGTCTTATGGAGCGAAAAATACGGGTAACTCATCTTCTGAAGGGGGCATCCTAGGCCCTGCCAGATGTACACATCAACTCTCAATGTGATCCAAGCAAGAATTCATACAATTAATAAAATTCCAGCTTTTATCAAGAACAATATAAACAAAGAACTAGGCACATCATGATATACTGAATTCTTCTTCAATCTCAGTGTTCAAGGTCAAAAATTTTTATAAGAGGAAAGATAGGCTGACACAGTGGTGCCTCACTTAACGATTGCCTCGTTAAACGACAAAACCGCTATACTATGACTGCTGCGATCGCAAAATGATTTTAAAAGGCAAAATCCGCTTTGCGATGATCAGTTCCCTGCTGATTGTTCGCATTACAACATTTTTAAAACAGCTGATTGGTGGTTTCAAAATGGCTCCCCGCTGTGTTTTTTGATGGATTCCTCGCTTTACAGGCACCGAAAATGGCCGCCTGTAAAGGATCTTCGCTGGACGGTGAGTTTTTCAGTCCACTAGAACGCATTGAACGGGTTTTCAATGCGTTTCAATTGGATTTTTTATTTCGCTTAACGAGGATTTCGCTGGAACGGATTATCCTTGTTAAGCGAGGCACCACTGTATTTGAAGGTCTGGACTCAATGTGCAGACCTAATGTTTGAGGGTTAGAATGCCATCAGATGTTGAGTGATAAGGTATGCTTGACATACTTGACTATTCTGACTGAAATTATTTATTACTGAATTTAACAAAAATGATCTTTAACTGGTCAGTTCAGTCAATTCACTACAGCACTAGTTGTAAAAAGACGATAGCAGATGAGCACTATCTTAACTCTGCAGGCTTGTTGAAAGAGTACTGAAAATATCTGAAATGATTTGATCATTTAACATTAATTAGCGTTTACATAACTCCTTTGAGACACTGGAGAACAAAGCCTAAAAATCTCTTAAATGAAAATGTGAGTTACCTAGAAAACCAATGGTAAATCAACAATATTCAGTACAAAAATATGCAAGTTGTACCTGAAATCACATATTAGCTGTTTTTGAATTAATTCATTTCAACTGAAGAAAATAATTAGGAACATGAAGCCAGCCTATAGAAGCACAAGATTTGGGTCTCTTTTTTCTTTTTTAAAAATAGCACATTTTACCACTTGGAAAATATTTATTCTAAATAAATGAATTACCTTAATCTGAAGGAAGACAACAACCAAATATTTACAGCAAACTAAATATCTGTACAAAATGCTATGATTTTGCAAGCCATTTCTTAAGAACATATAATTGGTAAAATGATAAATAATGAAATAAAGGCATATACTATACCTCTATAGGCTGTCTCCCTAATTCATGAGACATCACTTATGTTGCACTGACAGGCATAGTATAGAAACCTAGATAGATAACAGAAGTAGTTTATATTCTGACATATATAGGTTCCAATACTAGGTACTGTTCTGCACATCAGGAAATAAGCATTTATTCAGGCTCTATAAAATAGAAGTTAAAATAATTCTGCCTCTATGTTTAGTTAAGGGGTCAATCCTATGCACACTTATTGCATCCAGAAATAAGTCCTACAGTACTGGGAAACTCATTATCATAAGATCACAAGTAAACACTGCAGGAGTGTTGAACCCAAATACCTCTTCATATCTGATGTGATTACTGTAATTTTGTGTACTAGTGATGTCAAAAGCTGACAAAATTACAAACAGGATGGAATTTTTATTTCCTTCAACATACTATTTGTCTACACAAAACACAATGCACAAAAGGTTGTTAAAAAATAACAAATGAAAAAAAGTAAAAAGTCTAAAAACATGTAACTTCAAAAATCAATAGTTTTCACTGACAGTTTACAGCATTTTCTCAACAGGAAATTAGAAGTATTCAAATTCAGTCGAAAATTTTATTATTTATTTAAAATATTCTTACCCCGCTTTTCTCCTTAAAAGGATCAAACGTGGCTTACAGTATTATGAACAGTATAAAATCTAAAAATAATAAATTATTAAAGTATTAAAAAGAATTAAACAATAGTGTATTAAATCTACAGAGAAAAGCAATATTAGAAACACATTAAAAAGAACAAAAATTGAAACAATCTTTTCAAAAACTTCTTAGACAGCCTGTTACTAAAAGCAAGCCTGCCTGAAGAGAAAGGTATCTGCTTGCTTGCAGAAGGACAGCAAAGACAGGGTCAGCCTTTCCTATGTTTAGGAAACCAAAAAATTCATTTCATCAGATCCTCCTTTATCATTATTTCACTAACTATACGACCCAGGGGCCCTAATATATCTTGTGCAACGTTTGATGTCATGTGGTGAAGAACTCTCAAACTAGAAACCTTTATTTAATTTTTATTTGCTTTATCTAAGTATTTCCTGTTTCTTTGACAAGAGTTCCTGGACTCCTGTGCTCCACTTGTTGTGGCAAATAACTATCTAGTAAATATACTAGAAGTGTAATAAAGAAGTATCCCAAATAACATGGAATTGAATACGTTACCTCTGGTCATTCAAGTGTTATAAAGTCTAGTAATATAAGAACCATGTTGCCTCTAAATAAATGTTATGGCAATGTTGTATCTTTATCAACTTTTGCAAGGGAAAACAAAATATTTCAAACTCAGATGAACGGGCATAACTGTTGTTGGCACCCACACAACCAGATGCTTGATATTTTTCCAGCTCTGATTCTTGGCAATGTAAATCCAACAGAAATCTTCCTCTAGCGGGCAGAGAGCAGTGATCCTATTACAAGGACTGCAAAGGAAATTAATAGTTGATGACATAATAAACTTGCTCAGTTTTTGCTGCAGCTTTCTGCTTTTTCTCAACAAAAAGGTAGATAAGTATGAAAAGACAGAATGATTAAGGAAATGTCTCAACATATGGCAAGAAAAGGACTCATATCATGCCCTTAGCTATACACCATTAAGCTCGGCTTATACTGTCTGTTCACTTTTCTTTTGGCAGGGGACACATTATAATTGGATCTGTGCATATTTACATAGAAATTAATGTCCTGTACGCCCTTCAGAGCAGTTTAGAACAATGTAAAATTCCAATGTAATATCAAATCCCATATTCAATAAATAAAGAAATCAAGACCATAAATAAAATTTAAATAAAATAGTAGGAAATGGACTGTCACAATAAAAATATCTACTACCGTGTTTCCCCCCAAATAAGACAGGGTCTTATATTAATTTTTGCTCCCCCCCCCCAAAAAACGCATTAGGGCTTATTTTCAAGGGATGGTGTTTTTTTCCATGTACAACAATCTACATTTATTCAAATACCGTCATTTCATCTTCTTCTGGTTGCTGCAGAATGGTGGAGGGCAGGGTTTCACTTAACTGGGGCTTATTCTGGGGTAGAGTTTATATTACGAGCATCCTGAAAAATCATACTAGGGCTTATTTTCAAGTTAGGTCTTATTTTCAGGAAAACAGGGTAACTAGCAAAACATTGAAAAGAAGGCTACTTAGGGAATGGTATTCTACCATATGAGTTCAATATCACATGATGTGATATAACATTCAAAAAGATAATGAGTACACTGGTCCAAAGTCTTCAAGTACAAGGATTATTTGACTTCTTCATTTTTGTAAAGAGTTACAAATACTTCAGAGTATATCAATGAATGTTTTCAGGACAAGATGCATGAGACAAAGTGTAGTTCAATGTTCGGATACAGAAGAATTTAGAATGCATTTTATTTCTTAAGAAACCTCCTCTTGCATCACAGAGATACTAACTTTACAGAAAAATACATCTGAGCACAGCATGCACATTCAATATTTCATACCACAATATTATCCTTCAAGCATGTTTTACTTCCACTGTTTGAAAAGTTGGACTAACTGATGTTATGATAGTGAAAGAAACAGTACAATGGCTGATGAAACCACCTGTCTCTCATTTAAGCTGAAGACTGGAATGTAAAACAGAAGTCAAAAAGCTAACACAATGCTGTGTTGTTTCCTTTATAAAGCAAAAAATGCAAAACTATGGCAGTGTTCTGATAAAGAAAACTAAGCAGACATGCAGGAAACACAGAACCAACCTGCATTTAAGACACACACTTACAGATCTGCGGCAGGTGCCAGAAACAAGAGTATGTAAGCCAGATCACTAATAATGTGACATGTTGGCATAGTTTACGCAGAAGTCCTTTCAGTGGAACTACTCCAAATATGCATGCATATGATTGCAACTTTGGGAAATAATAAAAGCTACAAATAGGTAGTTTGCAGAAGTTATGCTTTATACTTGAGTTTGATACATTAGTCTGCTTATCTACATTCCAAACCCCCTCTCCATTCCTAGTCCTGTCACCTCTCTTCCACTTAACCCAGTGGTCAGGGAACTTTTTTACCTTTTATCTCTCAAAAAATTTATACTGCATATGTATATACATTACCCCCCTTGGCTCTCGTCGTCCGCAGCCAACCCCACCGCCTCTGCGCTCACCTGGGACCTGCTGCCGCCACATGGGCAGCTAATCTGGAGCCACCACACCACCGGGAAAGCGCGTCCTTGACAAGCGGAGGCGGGTGCCGCAGGACCAGCAGGTCCACCAGCCATGAGCTCAGGTGAGGCAGGGCAAGAAGGGGGCCTCCTTGCCAGACCACTCTGCGGGTGGGCGTGGGCAGGAAGGAGAGCCCCGGGCAGGGCTCCGCCCAGCACAGTCCAGCTGGCCCGGTATGCTGCCCCCCCCCACTTTGGAGGTGATGAGGGCAGGCAGGTGCCCTGTGCAGTTCCTCGCCGGGGCTCATTCTCCCCGCGATGAAATGCCCGTCTACACACAGCATCGTCGGAAATAAAATGTCTGGGGGATAAAATGCCTGCTACGACTGTCCTCATTACCCCAGGATTTTCATTTTTACCCCATTTAGGGTAATTTACTCCTGTTCCCTGACCACTGATTTAACCCAAAAGACAAAATTTCAAGCCCCTGAGTTGGTTAAGATTACTTCCTAAAGATCCAAAGTAACCAGGCTTAACTGGTGAATTGGCATGCAACTGGAATGGAGATGAAGCTGGCAATGAAATTCTGTTTTAGTGATTTATTCACTTTTGGGAAGTGGGGGATGGAAGATAAATATCTTAAGATATTCTGAATGAACCATAGACGTTGAGTGACCATTTCAAAATAAAGTAAATTGCATTTCAAATTCATTATAAATTAAAAGTAGAAATATCTTTTTTATTACGGAGAAATTTCTGATGCCAGCTTCTCTAACAACTGTCAAGAGAGTCAAAAATAACACAAATGGCCAACATACACCCATTTTCTTAGGGCACTCTTCCTCGCATAATTGCTATTCTTATAACCTGTAACTTCCTACATATCCTGCTTTAACCTGAAATTTCCATCATGGAAGATGTGTGCAAGCCTGCTTGGTGGCAAAATTTCTAAATGATTGGCTAGGACTCCTATTAAAATAGTTACAGTATCGGAATTTTTCAAAAATTGCTGTATTTCTCACATTAGAGCATCAGTTTTTGAAACTGTGTAATGTATATAACATGCTGCTGTTTTCCTCATCTGCATCTTCAACTAAGATAAAAGTATGTTTACTATTACTTTGCTTGTTTTTAGTGCTTGCTTTTTTGCAACATGATCAGAAACAACCAACAAGTTACCAATTACTTTGGCTTGTTACCTCAAAGCTAACACTCATAAAGTAAATATTTAATCCCTTAAGACACATGTATTACGAAGAAACACACTGGACTTATTTGCACATTGATAGTCCGAGAAGCCCTCACTACCAGGGTTCTTCTCTGTTACATTTTTCTCTCAAAAATCAGAAGTGTGGCCTGTGGAAAACTGATATTTTACTTCATGAAAATTAAAATGCAGGCATCAATAGTTGAGAAATAGTAATAATTACAATAGTATAGTGCACATCTATTTGGAACACTTGATTTCTAGAATGCAGCAAGAAACTTACCTTTCACTGAGTAAATATTTTATATCTTCCTTAGGCCTGGGGGACCGTATTGTGATCACACCCTCCAAATTAAACACCCTTTGAATTTAAATTCCCCCTTCACAAATTGCTGCTTTGTCGTGGCAAAGGGGCTTGAGTAACTCAGAGAAGCTATGGGCTATGCCATGCAGGGACACCCAAGACGGACAGGTCATAGTGGAGAGTTCCGACTAAACGCAATCCACCTGGAGTAGGAATTGGCAATGGCACTCCAGTATCTTTGCCAAGAATGCCCCATGAACAGAAACAAAAGGCTAAAAGATATGACGCTGGAAGATGGGCCCATCAGGTCGGAAGGCATCCGACATAATACTGAGGAAAAGCGGAGGACATGTACAAGTACTGTAGCTCCAGAGCTAATGAAGTGGTTGGGCCAAAGCCAAAAGGACGCTCAGCTGTGGACGCGCCTGGAAGTGAAAGGAAAGTCTGATGCTGCAAAGAAAAATACTGCATAGGAACCTGGAATCTAAGATCTATGAACCTTGGTAAGATGGATGTGGTCAAACAGGAGATGGCAAGACATCCTGGGCGTCAGTGAACTTAAATGGACAGGAATGGGCAAATTCAATTCAGATGATTATCATATCTACTATTGTGGGCAAGAATCCCGTAGAAGGAATGGAGTAGCCCTCATAGTCAACAAAAGAGTGGGAAAAGCTGTAATGAGATACAATCTCAAAAATGATAGAATGATTTCAATATGAATCCAAGGCAGACCTTTCAACGTCACAGTAATCCAAGTGTATGCACCAACCACCAATGCTGAGGAGGCTGAAGTTGACAAATTTTATGAAGATTTACAACACCTTCTAGAACTGACACCAAAGAAAGATCTTCTTATTCTATGGGATTGCAATGCTAAAGTAGGAAGTCAAGAGATAAAAGGAATAACAAGGAAGTTTGGCGTTGGAGTTCAAAACGAAGCAGGGCAAAGGCTAATAGAGTTTAGTCAAGAGAACAAGCTGGCCATCACAAACACTCTTTTCCAACAACACAAGAGGCGACTCTATACATGGACATCACCAGATAGGCAATACCAAAATCAGATTGCTTATATTCTCTGCAGCCAAAGATGGAGAAGCTCAATACAGTCAGCAAAAACAAGACCTGGAGCTGACTGTGGCTCTGATCATCAGCTTCTCATAGCAAAATTAAAGCTTAAACTGAAGAGAGTAGGAAAAACCACTGGGCTAGTCAGATATAATCTAAACCAAATCCCTTATGAATACACAGTGGAAGTAAAGAACAGATTTAAGGAACTAGATTTGGTGGACAGAGTGCCTGAAGAACTTTGGATAGAGGCTCGTAACATTGTCCAGGAGGCAGCAACGAAAACCATCCCAAA